ATGTTCATGTGATAACGTGACTATGATGTGGCCCCCGAGAGCCACACGGGGAAAGTCATTAGAGTCCCAGGGGCCAGACTGTTTAACAGAGAGGACTTGCTTGTGATAGACTTCACATCAAGTTTTCCATCTGGTGACGTATCTTTTTTTTTTTTTTAATGTTTGCTTATTTTTGAGAGAGAAAGTGCAGTTGAGGGAGGGGCAGAGAGAGAGGGAGATACAGAATCTGAAGCAGGCTCCAGGCTCTGAGCTGTCAGCACAGAGCCTGATGCAGGGCTCGAACCCACGAACCATGAGACCATGGCCTGAGCCTAAGTCAGATGCTCAACTGACTACACCAGCCAGGAGCTCCTTAATGACTTTTAAGTATCCGGTTCTGTGGCATTAAGTGCATGCAGTGTTGTGTGGCCACTTCCCCCTCACCCCCAGCCTCTGACAATCACCATTCTACTCTGTCTCTATGAATTTGACAACTCTGGGGACTTCATATAAGTGAAATCATACAGTATTTTCCCTTTTGATGATTGGCCTGCTTCACCCAATGTCTTCAAGCTTCATCCACATTGTCCTGTGTGCCAGAATGTCTTTTTTTTTTTTTTAATGTAATTTATTTGTCAAGTTAGCTAACATACGTTGTATACAGTGTGCTCTTGGTTTCAGGGATAGATTCCCATGATTCATTGTTTACATAATGTTTATTTATTTTTGAGAGAAAGAGAGCACAAGCAGGGTAGAGGCAGAGAGAGAGGGAGACACAGATTCTGAAGCAGGCTCCAGGCTCCGAGCTGTCAGCACAGAGCCTGACATGGGGCTCGAACCCACGAACCGTGAGACCATGACCTGAGCCGAAGTTGGATGCTTAACCGACTGAGCCACTAAGGCGCCCCCATCTGGTAGCATACCTTAATCCTCCCTCTCTCTATCTATCAAGGACAAAGCAGAGGAATTAGGTTTAAAATCCCCAGGGTGCTGGGTGTATTGTAGAACTGTGTGCACTATAAATAGTTAGGAGATGGGCTCATGATACAAGTGCTATGGATTCTTTGAGAGTTTAAACTTGGCGGCTTGGGGGTCCTGGGTGGCTCAGCAAAGTCTCAGACTTGATTTCTGCTCAAGTCCTGACCTCACGGTTCAAGGGATAGATCCCAGAGTGGAGCCTGTCTGGGATTCTCTCTCTGTGTGTCTTTCTCCCTCTCTCTCTCTCTGCCTCTCCCCTGCGCGTGTGCACATGTGCCGTCTCTCAAAATAAATAAACATTTTAAAAAACATGGCAGATAATTCACAGACTATTAAAATGTTAAAACCGAAAGAGACTAAGAGCTCATCTTCTCTAACCCTGTTGTTACAGATGAGTGTCACACAGATGGTTTACCTGGAATCATTCAGGTGTGGCCTGTCCTAGAGGTCAAGGGTGTCATAAATGAGTGCCTGGCAATTCTTTCCAGAAGCACAGCTCCATGACTGCACAAGTTCTGGACATAAATGCCATGAACTTTGAATTTAGGTGAAAGATGGGGGTGTTAAAGATGCAGAAAACCTGTCTCCAGCTCTGGAGGAGTTTAAAGTCAGCCGTGCTAATACTAGTAACACAAGTTTGATTGTTATGTTACCATAAGCAGAAATGATGTAGGAGTTCAGACAAAGAAAGAATACTTTGACAGGAGGCATCAGAGAAGTCCATTGAAAGAGCCAGTTGCATTTTCAACCGAGCTGTAAGGACTGTGTTTAGCACCGGCATTGAGGGTTGTCTTTGTTTGTTTGTTTCTTCTTTTGATTATGAACATTTTCAGGTATACAGAAAAGCTGAAGGAACAGTGCAGTGAATATCTGTACACCCACTGTCCAGATTTAAAAACCGTTAATGTTTTGTCATATCTGTCCGACTCTGAATTTGTATATGTGTGCATTGGGATTTGAGTGATTTGTAAGTAAATTATACATATTATGACAGTTTTTACCCCTAGATATATATACCCACTGGCATCTCCTAAAGCAGTTTGTTTACACAAGCACAGTTCTACCATCAAAAACAGAAGAGGGGTGCCTGGGTGGCTCCGTTAATTGAGCATCCGACTCTTGATTTCGGCTCAGGTCATGATCTCAGGGTGGTAGGATCAAGCCTGTGTTGGGCTCTGGCACTGAGAGCATAGAGCCTGCTTGAGGCTCTCTTTCTCTCTCTCTCTCTCTGCCCCTCTCCCCTGCTTGTGCACTCCCCCCTCTCACTCTCTGTCAAAAAATTTAAAAAAAAAACAAGAAAATTATTAATAATACAGTAATATCATCTCATTTCTATTCGCTACTTCGAATTTCCCTAATGGCCTCCTGTCTTTTATAGCTGTCTTTTTAAACCTTGATTTGATTAAAGTTCATATACTGCATTTTTTTTTGTAAGTCCTACATTTCTTTTACTCTAGAGCACCGCACCCCCCTCCAACAGCCCCCCTGCTCCCATTCAATATTTTTGTGTCATGACATTGACTTTTCAGACCAATTTTCTTATGACTTTCTTGTGGATACCTTACCTGGCAGGTTCCTTGCAAATTGAAGATTTAATAAATAGTTTAAAAAAACCTTAAAATAGCCAGGTATTTTCTAGGAGATATATCACCAGATTGTCAGATGTTGCTTCTGACATACCATTTTTAGTAGCTAATGTCTATTTTAAGCTAATCCTTATTTGCAAAAAATGATATAAGGTGATTGTAAAATGTTACAACAATTTAGAAATGTATAAAATACACAGTGAGAGTTCTGTATAATATCATCTCTGTGTAGCCTTAACAGTTAATCATTTTAGTGAATGTACATTCTTTCCCAGTACTTTGTGTTTTTGTTTATTATAAAAACTGCATTATCTGTACATTTGGTGGGCAGTGTACTTTTTATTTCACTAACTGCATTATGGATGGCGTCTTATAGACTATATAGCAGGGACTGTTTTTAATAGTGGCTGGGATAAAGGTATACCCAGCCAGCCACATTCTTTCACAGGTGTTTAAGGTGAGCCACACCCAGACGTAAAGTGCCTAGCCCAGGATTAGAAGTGTGGCTTATGCCCACAGAGCAAATATTTTTCTCTGTTTGAGGCTCCTTGGTTAATATGTGAGTTGAATCTCGGTGTCTTCTGCCCCGTGGCTTCACCACGTTGAGGGAATGTGTGAGTAGTCAACTCTTAAGGGCTCTGTATTTGAATTCGCCTCTCCTTTTTTGCTTTTTTGGGTGGGTCCCTGCGGAGGCTTTGCTGCAGATATCAGGAGATCATCAGGTTGGTGTCCCTGAGAGGTAAACATGACAGTCTGCCAATACAAAGTGATTTAGAAATGTTAATAGGTTTTACCAAGCCGCAGTCTCTAGCATGTGTATTTTAAGCCATCATAAAGCATACCTGTCATGCTATGGAATGTGCCAGAGGGCAGGCATCAAAGACTGGCCGAGGGAGTCTGGGCAGAATGTTTTGCTCTGTTGTAGGGCTGTGCCCTGACAACCTCTGTGAGGCCCAGGGTCCCGACAGGGAGTCGTTTCTAAACATGAAAGCCATTTTATTTATTAATTCAGGAATTCCTGTAAATATTACTCATAGTCGCCCCTCTCAGTGTCAGGTGGCTCTGAGGTAACTCTGTGGATGAAAGGTGTGAAGACGGGCTGGACCTGCTCGACTTAGGGAATTGAACGCAACAATCATAGGAGCAAGGGATGGCCTTTTGAACTTAATGGAGAAGAGGGAGGTGAACAAAGAGACTGTCTGGACGTTTCTGGCTTCTTTGAAAGAGAATGATGAAGAAGGTCCAGTGAGGAACAGTAAAGCCATTTTGCTGTCGTTTTCTTTTTGGGTTCTTCATGGCAGTGCCGTCCCTTGAATTTGGCCGGCTGTTAGGGTGTAAGTACATCTCATTATTAGGAAGTTAACTTATCTGTAATTTGGTGACAAGGTCTTTTGCATCAAGCGTTTTTGTAAAAGAACAAAATGACAGAAAAAGAAAAAGGGGGGCACCTGGGTGGCTCAGTCAGTTCAGTGTCTGACTTTGGCTCAGGTCATGATCTCACAGTTCGTGGGTTCAAGACCCACGTCGGGATCTGTGCTGACAGCTAGCTCAGAGCCTGGAAACTGCTTCGGATTCTGTATATCTCTCTCTGACCCTCACCTGCTCACACTGTCTGTCTCTCTCTCTCTCAGAAATAAATAAAACATTTAAAAAAATTTTTTAAAAAGAACAAAATGACAGTAGGGCGGTTCTGCACATCTAACTGCCTATTTGGTGAAGAAAAACACAGAGTTGTGATAGTAAATGCATTTGATTCATATATTTAAAACTTCTTTAAATGTAAAACGTTGCTGACTTCCATTCAAAGTGCATTCTGTTTTCTATCATCCATTCTAAACGTGTAAAGTAGATAACAGATATTAAAAGGAAAGGCAAATGATGTTAATGTAAAGAAAGAGGCAGTGTTGCAAAGAGCGAGAAGGAACAAGATTCTAAGTTCAGGATCAGCAAGTCACTTAAATCACGGAGCCTCACTTCTTTCCTCTGTAAAATGGGGATCATAAAACCTATGCCATCGGGTTGTTAATGAGGTTGAAATCAGATGATCTTTTCAGAAGTTCAACAGTGTCCAGATTCAACCGCTACTGCTTTCTTGAGTAGAAAGGATGGTCCAGTGAAAAAAAGCATGGGAATTCAAGTCCCCATAGACATGGTTTGAATTCTGACTTTGCCATCCTCCCATCTGACTTTGCGTCTTTAATGAGTTATTTTCATCTCTCTGGCCCTCCCCATCCTCAGCCACTGAAATGTATTTCATCAGCTCCTTCTTGTAAGATCAGGTAGAGCTCATGGGCGCCACCAAGAGGCTCGGGGGCTGCAGAACTTGCTGGTCCCCGGATCTGGACATCCGTCTGTCCGTAGGGGGGCAGGGGCGTGTGCTGCCGCATGCAGGTCATAGGCCATAGCCATCTGCAGTCTCCCTTGCAGCTAATGCCCTTGCCGCTTCTCCGTTTGCAGCGATCCCCCGGAGTGCCGCACCGGGCATGGACACCTTCCTCGGCGTCTGGAGGAGCACGTGTGGCAGTGTCATCACCCGGACACGAAGCTGCTGAGGCCATCTCCAGGGCGTGGGCGCCAGGATAGGAAGGCGGCGTCCGAGGGCCACGTAGCCATGCCTTTCGGCCTGAAGCTCCGTCGGACCCGGCGCTACAACGTCCTGAGCAAGAACTGCTTTGTGACGCGGATCCGCCTGCTGGACAGCAATGTGATCGAGTGCACGCTGTCGGTGGAGAGCACCGGGCAGGAGTGCCTGGAAGCCGTGGCCCAGAGGCTAGAGCTGCGAGAGGTGATGGTGGGCGTGGGCGGGGGTCTGAGCCAGAACTCACTCTGGGGCCTGGCTCCCTGTCCCTTGGCCCCTGCTGTGCCTGCAGCCCCGGCCTCGTGTTTAAGAGGACCCTGTTGTCCTTGGCGTGGCCTTGATCTCACAGCCTCAGTGGATCAGGAAGCCCGCTCAGATGCGGCCAGGAGTCAGGACCTGTCTAGAGCTTGCAGGGTGTGGCCGCTTCCCATTGGCCCCTCTGATGAGGAGGGTTGGGGAGAGGGCGTGGCACATCCAAAGTCAGGGTCTCTCTTTAAAACCATGGACTGGGTAGCTGGGGTTTTGCAGCTGCACATCGAGGAGAAAACGCCCACAGAGGGGATGGATGCGGCTGCTTTTAGTTTTTGTGTGTTTGTGTCTATATTTTCCTCTTCAAAGAGGGGAAGAAATTGAAAAAGTATTTAAGGCCAGCGTGACCAGCGAGGCTTTTTGTGGGTGCTTATAAAATGGGTGTTTTGTTTCTTTCAAGATTCTTCATGACCCTCATTTTCTTTATGCTCTCTGAGACTACTTTGGGCTTTTAAAATTTATTTACTTATTTTAAAAAATTCCTTTTTAATGTTTATTTATTTTTGAAAAAGAGAGAGACAGATAATGAGCAGGGGAGGGGAGGGAGGAGCAGAGAGACAGAGGAAGTCACAGAATCTGAAGCAGGCTACAGGCTCCGAGCTGTCAGCACAGAGCCCGACTTGGGGGCTCAAACTCACAAATGGTGAGATCATGACCTGAGCTGAGGTCGGACACTTAACCCACGGAGCCACCCAGGCGCCCCTAGACTCCTTTCGGCTTTAAACAAAGCCAGGGTTGACCATGAAGGCAGTCATGTTATCACTCTCTAGAAGGGACTTTCCTGGGGCTGATGTCCTTTATAAGAAGCAAGTCCTGGGTCTTCCTGTCTTAATTCTTTTGTGAGAACCACGGACACGGACACACATATGCACCCTGAAAGCCCCGGGACAGAGTGGCCAGTGACTCAGGTGGCGTGATTGAATGGTTGCCACATAGCGGAAGGGACTGCAAATCCCTGAGATCTGAGGAGCAGAAAAAGCTCTGTGGTTGTCCTGGACCCTTTGACAACATTGCTACCTCAGGGTGCTGGTTTGGGAGGACGGTGCCTGCTGGAGGTGATGGTGTTTGACGTCTTCCACCTCCCTCAGGATCCACCTCCCTCCACGTGCACAAGGGAATTGGCATCGGAGAAGTTCTTCCTCTCCCCTTGGCGTCCCCCGCAGGCCCGCTGCCATATTGTGGGGGACAGTTTCACTTGAGTGCTTCTGTCTCCTGCCAGTCTTCATATTTATAGTTTGGTCTCTGTGATCAGAGCTTCCTTTGAAGTTTCTTTTCCGGTATAGGGAAAGAACTTCCTGTCCCACAGCTACATGTAGCTCGGTAGCTGGCCCAGCAGAATAAACATGCAAAGTGTTCCGCCTTGGCCGGTTCGTGGTGGGTCCCTTCTGACGTATGAGTCACACACTGGGGTATACATATTTAAAAATATGCATGTGCCTGAGCGTAAAGGAAAAACCTTAATACTGAAGATTGGTTGGTTAGAAGACTGGTCCGAATTTCTTGTGAAAATGTTAGTTTTAGATTGTTTAAAAAAGATATGCGCGGTTCCACTTCTGAGTACTCTCCATAACTCACGGTGGAGTATCTATTCTTTGCATGCACTGGGAAGGTGGTGGAGCATGTGCTGAAGGAGTTATAGGCTCAGTCCTTGGCCTCTTGGACTTGGGTTTGAATTACAATTCTGTCATCTGTTAGTTAGGTGTCCTTGGAAAAGTTACAGTGCTTCCCTGGGCCTCCGTTTTCCCACCAATAAAGTGGAAATGATGATACTCACCTTACTTATCTTATGGGACTGTTGTAAACATTAAAAAAGATACAGTGTGGAAAATGCATAGTGCTGCATCTAATATTTACAACTGTCCCAATTTGAGAGCCTTAAAATTTTTTCATTGAAGAAAATCTTGAGCACCTGCAATGTGCCAAGCACTATGTTAGGACTTGATAAATGAAGATAGAAAAGGTATGATTTTGTCTTCAAGATATGCACAGATGAGTAGGGGAATCCAGCATTTACATAAGCAGTTAGGATTGAATGAGATCCAGGGGCGCCCGGGTGGTTCAGTCGGTTAGTGTCAAACTCTTGATTTCAGCTCAGGTCATGATCTCACAGTTTGTGAGTTTGAGCACCACATCAGGCTTTGTGCTGACAGGGTGGAACCTGCTGGGGATTCTCTCTCTCTCTCTCTCTCTCTCTCTCTGCCCCTCCGCGCATGTGCACGCTCTCTCTCTCTCAGTAAATAAACTTAAAAAAAAAAAAAAAAACCAAGATTGAATGCAATCCATACTAAAATGCAATGCAGGTGCAGCCCTGAAAGGCATAGCTCTTCTTTGAGTTGTGCAGTACGCAGTCTGTGCCACTGACCGATGTGGCCCTGAGAGGGGAGAGGAAGCCTCAGGGAAGGATGAACAGAGCCTCCGCTCTCTGAGTAGAAACTTGAAGGATGCACAGGACTTCAGCAGGTGGAAAAGAAAGCAAGGCCATCCAGGGCCAGGGGAATTGGGGTTTTGAAGATCCCAGGATGAGAAAACAGGTGCCATTTCTGGGGGCTAAGAAGGCATCTCTGTGAATCCCCAGACAGAGTCTAAGGTGCACGGGGAGGCAGGTCTAGAGATGCAGATGCTAATAATTACTCTCAGCAGAGTATTGCTTCTCTCAGAGAGAGGGCAAAGGTCAAACCCGGATTAGCGCACAACTGTGTTGTCACAAAGGACAAAGCAGTGAAGTCTACATTCTGCTGTCAAGTGTCTGTTGCAACGTGATTGATCTTCTGATGTGAAGGTGGGGTTGACATTTAATGCTGGCTTTATTTTGACATGCTCTAAATGGGTGCATTCACATTAGAGCAAATCACTTTCTTTTTTTTTTGTTTAATTGTACGCTTTTGTTCTGTGACAGTTGACATTGAAGGTATGGCCTTTTGTGAAACAATACTTAGCTCCTTTCAAAGGAGAGGATGAGATCAAGCCACCTCTACTTTGTTCTTCACTGACACACACACACCTGGAGGAGGAGTGTGTTCTTTCCCCAGAAGCAGGAGGAGGAGGGGGCGGGCACACGGGCTGCTCTACTCACTTGACTTTCTTTGTATTTGGGTCATTTTCCAAGTAGAGTTGATGGAGCTTGAGAGGATCAAGTGGAAATCCATCCGAAATACAACACACTGTTGAGTCTTTATTAAGGCTTGGAAACCAGATCTGGTGGATATTTGGCTTTGCCGTTAGAAGTGTTCTGTAGTTGGGGCACCTGGGTGGCTCAGTCAGTTAAGTGTCCGACTTCTGCTTAGGTGGTGACCTCGTGGTCCATGGGTTCCAGCCCCGCGGCGGGCTCTGTGCTGACAGCTCGGAGCCTGGAGCCTGCTTCACATTCTGTGTCTCCCTCTCTGCCCCTCCCCTGCTCGTGCTCTGTCTCTCTCTCTCTGTCTCTCTCAAGAATAAACAAACATTAAAAACAAAAATTTAGAAGTGTTCTGTAGTTGTATCCTAGACTTTGTAAAAGCTTTATATTAGGAAAGGAAAATTAATTTTGATTTAATTTTTGATCTACATTAATTATAATTTGTGTTTTGCCACTTCATTTAATCATTTTAAAAATGGATTTATTTAAAAAAAATGGATTTATTTTTTAAAGCTGTCTCCGTTTCATAGCAATACTGAGTGGAAAGCAGAGTTCCACATGCCTCCTGCACCCTCCACTGCCCTCCCCTCCCCCACGCCAGAGTGGGACGGACACGAGTTCCAGTCGATGAGCCCCCACGAACACATCATCACCCTGAGCTCTCGCTTACATTAGTGGTCACTCTTGGTGTTGTATGTCCTGCAGGTTTTAACAAATGTATGATGATGACATGTATCCATATGTTTGACTTTTTGAGGCTCACATCTGGGTTTGAATGTGCCAATATCCTGCCATTTCAAATGGCATTTAGAGGGCCCAGGCCTGGTTCATAGGGTCAGCAAATACAATCAAGCCCCAGGGGACACCGAACATGAGACGGTCCCTGATCCCAGAAACCCTAGAGCTTAGAGAATAGGACAAACAAGAAACAAAGCAAAGGGAACAGCCCGTGCTGAGGTACAAGAAACAGGAAAGCACGTGGAATTTTCAGGGAAGGGCAGAGTTCACTCTGCACTGATCTGTCTGTGCGTGCGTGTGTGTGTGTGTGCGCGGGGGGTGGGGGGTACGGAGAGGTCCTGGCTGGGAGGGTAGGAGTGTATAAAGGCAAGCGGGAGTCTTCTTTTGAAGGGTGTGATGTATCTAGCCAGGGAGTTTTAACTGGGTCCTGTAGGACACTTTCTAGAATGCATCCCAAGAAGAATTAAAATAAATCGCCACCTTTTATCGCCACGTATTGTGCCAGGCACTCTCCCTATATCAGTTCATCTAATTCTCATTTCAACTCTGTGAGGGGCCTTCTCTGGCCGTATCCATGTTACAGACGGGGCCACCACGTCAGTTAAGGCAGGGCGACCTGCTGGCGGTGACTGGGCTCCCCATCCCCAGCCAGGCTGCCTCCACCCTTCGAATTCCCAGGCATGTGTAGTGGCAGAAAAGGAGTGAGGTCAAATGCTTTGGGAAATACCTCCATCAATTTTTTTTCTTTTTTTTTTTTTTTAGGTCTTAAACTCAGTGTTTCACAATTATGTTAGCATTCTGTAAAATCCTCTTTGATTGTTTGGAGAATAAAATGCTGCCATGAGATGGGGAGACATCTAAGGATTTCAAGGCAGAGTGTAATGTAAACACCTTGCATTTTAGGACAAGAAACAAATAGCAGAAAGAGAATGAGGATTGGGGTGACAGGTGCTAGCTGGGTGAACTTGACAATAATCCTGGCTACAGGAATTAAAATGAACTCCTCAGGGAAAAAATTTTTTTAATTATTTCAAGTTCAGAAAAA